ACATAACTAATTAAATAATTTGAGTAGCTGTATCAAGTTTAATTGAATAATAATCAGTACCCTTTTAGTTGCAGAAAAACGCAGTGGATGGTGAATTACCCTTAATAATTTATTTTATAAGTCAAAGTGGAGGTAGCTCGTAATTTAATTAAGTCGGAAACGTCAATGTGGCTTCAGTCATCGTTTTCATTTAAACATAGTATTTTTTAATTTCTTGATAAAACTTCAATATTATGAAAATTAATAATACAATTATTATATAAATCTATATTTTGAGAAAACTGCATATTTTTAATTCTTTTGAGTTTTGATACTTGCACGTGCAATACAACTTACTTTTTTTAATTTCCATTGCCAGTTTTTATCCACAAATTCGTTTTTCTGAACAACTTTAGTATAAAAGTTTTTTTTAATTACAAAATTGACATATTACTAGAAGAAGAAATGTATAACATTTTAACAATTATCTGTTTTATTTTTTCAACACTATTTTGTTTTAGTGTTTTGTCCTAATTCGCTTGTGAAATGCTAGATAAAATAAAAAATAATTTAAGGTAACAAGAATTACCTGTTTTTAATTACCTTAGTTTTTGTAAAAACTAACACAATATTACAAAATTCTTTGTCTATATTTTGATGTTTAATAAACATTAGTGTTTGTTTATGTCTTCTCTTTGTAAAAATAGAAGTATAAAAATATCAGAATGTCACCCCTTTTAATGGGGTTAATAAATAAAAATAATAAATCGAATCAAATAAATATTGAGGACATTTTAAGTATAAAATGTACCTACTTAAATATTGTTAAAAACAGCGATTATTCGTCCATTTTAACTACTCTAGCTTTTTAAATTTTTTAATAATTAGAAAAAAGTTGTTACCTATAATCCTAATAATAAAATACATGTTTGTAGATAATTTCGAATTATAAAATGTATTTGATACACCCTGTTTTTCGTAATTAAATTAATTTGTAGTTCTTTTTTACAAATTATAAGCTATTTTAAATTGTAACACTTTTTTAATGGCAGAATATATTGATAGAAACAACTAATAAGTTATGATGAGCTTTCGTTTTTGAGAGTCAAAAATAAAAAAATAATCCTTTTATATATACCTCGACTTGAAACATTTGTTCTTTATTGTTGTTTTTATTTTTTTTTTGTTCATTATATGCATCTGAACTTTATATTACTAATTAGTAACGATTTATGATATAGCGTAAGTGCGTTTCAATAATGAACGTTAAGTAAGTTTTTTTGTTTTTAATATAATTTGAAGAATGCCCCTTCGACCAGAACTCTGTATAGGGTTTCAGGAAACCTGTACACGTAGGTTACTTCGTTCAAGATTCAAATGTTCTCTTTACTAATGGTGGGGGGGGGGTTATGTTACAAAATGAGCTTCTTTAATAAATCACGTTGCTATGGTTTTTTTTTTTGTTTTTTGTTTTTCACAGCACAAAGGTTTTGAATACGACTCTGAATTAAAACTTTGCAGACTCTAACGGTTTTGGCTTTTGTCTAGAGTGTACCGAGGTAATTAAACTATACTACACTGTTTTGCGATGCGCGCAAGCGAATAACATATTTTTTTTTTATTTACTGGCGGTCTCTCGGGTATTGGTATACCTACGAAAATTGCATAATCTTGTATTGTTGTCTATTGCTGCAGTAAGAAACACTGAACTTCTATATTGATTTATGTTCCCGCGTAGTCGGAGATCCGAGACTCTGTCCCTTAGAATATGTCCACATAGCTCATCCCTCGATCAGGGAAAAATAAATAAAACAAGACATATTTTCCTATATGGTATGCTAGCGTTGTTATAATATATAATGTGGGTACGTGCCGATGTTCACGGAAAAAGGAACACAAATGTTCAAAATGAAATTGTGGGTCATCGTTGTCTGCAATACATTTATTATTTTATTAATTCAAACTTTAAAATAAAAAATTAAACCTCCTCCGCAAAAAGTAATTCGACTGTCAGCTGTTTTGTAAGTAATTTACAATTTAGTATGTGCTATGCTTATGATAGGGCATAATGTTTAATACATGAAATCACGTGGTGTTGAAGAAGAAAACGACGACCTCAATGAGTTGGGACTGGACTCGGGCCCCGAGACCGTCGTCCACAACTACCTGTCGTGACAGACTTACCATATAGGTAAACAGGTTACAGGTATTATGACGTATATAGGTATTAGGTACTCTGTAGCTGCAGTGGTGACTACCCGGATGTGATGAATAGAATCACAATTCTATATAGACAAAAATATAATATAATAATGTTATACTCTTATTAGTGTTGACAACATCATCAAAATATCAACAAATAAAACATTGATTGACGATGAATTATAATTAAGTCAACACGAATCGTTCATTTATCGCCCATTCGTTTCTCGATAAGGAACTGCTGCAAGTTCCCAATAAAAATAATTCGTTTATTATTTTGTTTAATAGTTATTAATTTGGTTTATTTATTGCAAAAAAATGGTTTGTAAATTTCTAAGAAAACTCCGCATGGATTTTCAATTTTTTCTATAACACATAAAAGGAAGTACTTACTTATAGTAATAATGGTTCAAAACGAAACGAAACTATTTTAGAGATCTTTACAAATATTGTACGTATTCTACCATTAAACCGTGTTGTATACGTTTTATTTCTACAATTATCTTTAATTAATGATTTGAATTGTATTCAAATTCGCAATCAAAATATTATTATGTGTCTAGTAGATCGTTAACTATACTAAAAACAGTAAATTAATATAATATAAAGTAAACTGTAGGTATTTCAAAATATATTTTTTATTGATCTTTACTAAATGTAATCCCACCCAACTATTTGTAAATCTAATCTAAGACGATTAAAACTTCCTCATAAATGCCTGAAATTGTTAATTATTAATTTAATATTGTTTGTTTGTTTAATTCCAATCATTTTAATGATAAATATCACATTTAGGGTTAAAGGGTGATACATTTCAAGCAAGACAGTCATTGTTTCAGAAACACTTACGTTTTTGAAAATATTTCTTTTACATAACTTTAAGTTGTTAAAAATCAACAATTTTTCTAAAAATATATATTTTTTAAATGTTTTTAATGCACGTGTAAAACTGTGTCCTAACGTTGAGTAAATAAGTGCGTAAGTACGAATATACACTATATAGCGTGTTTAACAATAATTATAAATTATATACGTATACATTTCAAATACCTACCACTTACTCACTCACTGATTGCTATATCTCAATAACTACCAAAGGTACGAACTTGAAATTTGGATTAGTGGTTCCTGTAATGGAGATGCGAAATAAGAAAGGATTTTTTGAAATTTTCAGGGGCTCAAACAAGGAATTTGAGATTCGCGATAGATATTGGAAATTGTTTTTTTATTTATAAATAATAGTTGTATTGGTTGCAGTTTATGATAGTAATAGTAGAAAATAATACTATTTTTTTTTACATATAAATATATGGTTACCATTAGTATTCGGGTATAGATTATTTACAAGCATACATCAAATCATCACGTTGACATGGCCCCAATTAAAGAAACCATATCTTTAAGCTAAATGTAATATGCCTATATGTGTATTGTGTGTAGCTTATATATACTCAAAAACTATTCAATTGAATTTGTCGAAAATCTCAGAGATTCTTTTTAAAGATATTAGAAAAGTTAAAAGAGTAAATAGTTAAAACCACGTTTAAAAATATACCAAGTGTTAAATCCAATCCGAGATTTGTGGTTTGCCATCTAGGCCGAATTATTTCACAAAGCTAGGTCCATTGACGCCGATTTGTCCGTGAACTGAAATACACTCAAACCGAGATATTCCTATATATAGAGTACATATATACTAAAATGATTTGTCACAAAAAAAAACTGAACACCGGCGAAGCTGAGAATTTCAGCTAGGTACAATAAATTATAATAACGAGTAAGTGCCTACACCTGATACCTAGTCAAAGTAGAGAAATTATTTTAAACCCATTTTCCATCGTCAATATAGCGTTTTTAATATTTTGTAGGTATTATAAAATAATATATAGATAAGATAGTGCATTATGTAATGATAAAAACAAAATTTTCAATTTAACATTTAATTTTAAACGTTCATCAAATGTATCCTGCCCCACCAATTTAAAATTGTTCAACATTTTCTTCACCAATATTCAGTATCTTGTGATTTGTATGAATTTGTACTACAATTTTCAAAATTCATATGACCTTGGCTTCTAAATTAACCAAAAAAATGTAGTGTGTGGATCACCCCCAATTTCAGATTCTGCACCAATTTTTTAACATTATACATTCATGAATCGTAGGTTTAACTATACACCATATTTCGGTACGTTAATTTTTATACGAGTATCATTCGGCTGCAATTAAGTCAACTCTAAAAAAATGCTATCATCTCTAAGCGAAATTTCAGTTATAAAAACAGAAATAAATCTTTATTTCATTTAAACCATTTATTGAGTAACATAAAATGTATACCTTTTTCTTGTGTTAATATTTGGTATTGCAAAAATTACTATTCGTCGATAGCCCACTTTATTATATGTATAAATGTATGATAAAGTATAAAAAGTATGAATTTTGGGTTGTGAGTAGTTGTATCATGTATGTATAAAATTACAACTTCATACATACGCAGTATTTTTTCATTTTATAACAATATACAATATAATAAGTAATAATATATACCAATGGAGTATGAAGAATAAATTTAATTATCCTGGATGACTGTAGAAAGATAATAAAAACTTTTTTGTTTATTTTAACTTCAGAAGTTAATCATTATATTTAAAGCATACATCAGTTAGGTAGTATACATAATATATATTTAATATAAATATTATTGTTATTGATAAGCTTAATACTTCGTTGAAAACTTAAAACTACCTAGGTAAATTAACATTTTCTTATTAGAGCAAGTATAGGTATATGTACACTATATATCAAGTTTTTCTTGGGTACTCGCCCCGTTGTAAGTACACAAAATAATAGGGATCACCCGTAGCATGATTTCAGTGTTTTGAACATTTTATTTCCACAGGCCAACGGATTTTACATGGATAATAAGTGGGTAAAATAAAAGCAAATGATGGCACATTCGATGTTGTAATGTACTTTTACCGCTAAATTAGGTTGGTACCATTGTTGCCTACGGGTTTACTGAGATCATTCTAATAAAACCAAAAGAGCGTTATCAGTATGCAATTTGAATACATTTATAGGCTGTGTAGGTATGAAACGTGTGTAGATGTTTTATACATATTATATAATTATATAATATAAGAAAAATGATTATGCTGGATTATGCTGGCTGTTGCTGTAGACAACGATGTTTTGAAGCTTTTTATAACTATTATTCAAAATTAGATTGAATTTATAGATAAAATTAAATATTATGAGATGAAATTTATGTTTTCGATGTATGTATGATTCATTTTTTTCTATCGTATAAAATGTTTATCATCTCTATTATAATAAAACGCCGTGTGTTGGGCCGTTCGGCGCGTCTGTACTTTTTTTTCGCGATTGGGATGCCGCTCGATGTTTCTACTTTGGCCGTCATCCGAATAAGTACTAACACCGCAAATAACATTATAATACGACTTTGAGGCGTATAATATAAGAGTAGGTAAACAGATTTAAGGAACCAAACGAAAGTTTAAAAAAATAAATCACGTCAACGTATATAATGTACACACTTCAAATCGTGTAAGAAAAAATGATGATAAAAGTAAAAAAAAACAGAAGACCCACTGCAGCGACGCATTTCGGCGTTTATCTACAGATTTATAATAAATAAAAAACGATGTAAAAAGTAAGTCTCACGTCGCCTCGATCGTCTCAAGTCCAAAACTCACACTGACGAAACCATAAAACGTGGCGGCCGGCAATCGTTATTATAATATTATTATTATTAATTAACGTACACACAAAAAAAATTATAACATTTAATTACGAGCGAGTGCACGACGCACCTTCGCTACTGACGGTCGAGAAGTGGTTGAGTGGTGGGGGAAGGGTGGCTCAATATCCGGTCAGATCCTCTCGTAGTTCCGGCGGCGGCGGGTCTTGCCGTTGCGCCAAGCGTACGTTTCGAAGTCCGTTTGGATCTGCAGGAACGACTTGCCCTTAGTCTCGGGCACGCAGAAGTAGCAGAATAGGCCCCCGAAGAAGGTGATCACCGCGTACCCGATGAAGTTGGCGCGCTTGCCGTACGCGTCCGTCACCGGCTGGTAGATCTTAAGCATGATGGTGGACGTGAACGTGATGGTGAACACCACCGCCGAGTTGGCCAGGCCACGGGTGTCCGACGGGAAGTACTCACACTGGATGACGGACAGCACGGGCATGAGCCCGATGTTGATAAAGAATTCGGCGCCGCACACGCTGGCCAACAGCAGCCAACCGTCCAAGGAGGTCATGGACTGGACGCCGACGCTGCCGCCATTGTCCCCCGACAGGAGCGCGGCTATGAACACGTGGCACAAAGTGGTGCCCACACACGATGCCATGAATAGCGGCCGTCGGCCGTACCTGTCCACAGTGAGCGCAAAAGGCACGCACGCCACCACTATGAACAGGCCGAATATCACGGCGCTGGCGTTCGGCGACAGCCCTGTGCCGTACAGAACGGACGACGCGTATGCTTCCATCACACTAGCCCCGCACGCCATCTGTAGGGCGGCCAACGTGAGCACGATGATCAGCGGCGCTCGATCCCTGTTTAGCAAGTCCGTTAGCTGTCCCTTGCACCTGCAGCACAAAAACGAAGAAGTGAAGGGGTGCAAAAATTATAATATTATAATACCTACTAATTGCAGACTGCGGACTGCACAAGTCGCAAACTCAAAATACCTACCAGTTATTTTTAAATTGTGAGTGATGCGGGGCTAATGAAAAATAATAATAATTTTACGTAATAGGATAAATGATATATTATATTATGTTATAACTTATAATGCACAGGTACTAGTATTATTTTGTTTTTGCTGTTTAATATATTATGATAATATTAATGGTTTATGACCATAATATTATATTTTACCATTATATAGGTTGCGGTTTTTAGGCTAGTGTGGTTTTTTGATGTTACAGGTATTTAAGACTAAGTCTAAGTATATATTATGTTATAATAATATTATATTATACCTTTTATACATAATTAATTCGTAAATTTTATTCAGCAAGTAGCATCGACGTAGGTAACCAATAAGAGTTGTTTTGACATACACGGTCTTGCACAGAAACTCTTAATATAAATAGGTGATAAGTCCAAATATTTTAATTACTAATATTCCAAAACTAGGCAATACATTTCTCATTATACAACGTTGGTAAATTAAATCAAATTTATTGGTTGGTATATTAAATCAAATATATTCAATTTTGTATTATTTATTTCATATGATTTTGTGTAATTGTAACATCTTTTTTGCTTTTTTTTTAGTCCGTTTATATTTCCACACAAATTTATCGAACAAAATAGGTATACAAACATAATATTATCGTTAAATGTCAAGAGTACTGTATACGTGGTTTTTTTTTTAATATCACTACCAAGAAAAAATGATATCGTTTGCAATAGTTTTGTATGCCTATATCATAATATGTGAAGTGGAATATCGAAGAATACAACTTTACTAAACTACTAGCGTAATTCTCAAAGAAATATTTAATAATATACTGTAAAATGTGCGCAATGTGGATTTGAGAACTTAGTTTTCAAATTTCGATGAGGGATCAAGGTAAAAATGTACTTAACGTTTGGATAAGGGCCGTGGGGCTAAGGTTCTAGGACAGAACGTGGTCCACAGGAAGTTGGCGACTTCTAGTCAATAGAACTATACACATAATCGGTAGACAAACAATAGTCCCATACCCATTGACGTTACCGTGAACTCATAACGAACAGCTTGGCGGTAAATATATAATGGTAACGACAATATAATACAATCACGAAATGTTAAATCTATTATGGACCGTATAATAATATAATACGGTTGATAAAACTTAAGCGCTTTAGCTATTGTGGGCATAACACTGAGCTGGGCCTGTCATTTGCCATTTTTATTAGGTTATTGAATTGTTAACTAACGTTATAATTGTATAAACTATATAAGTTTGTTAAGATAAATTAATAGTAATGTGCATTACCTATCTTATATACTTATATTATGTTCTAATTTAATAAATAAATGTTATATTAAATAATTTATATTTCAAAATATTTTGTAATTATTTTGCAACGCCAAATGCTATGCGCTAAGTGATGTTAATTAAAATAAATATAGATGAAATATAGAGAAATATAGATAGATAGATTGCAGCTTGGATAAACTATTATAATATTATTAGATTATTAAAAAATTAATTTTTTTCTGAATAATAAAAAAAAAGATTCTATACACTTTTAACGTTGATTACGACGATCAGTATGGTTTATATAATTATTAATATAATATTTGTTTAGGTAGGTACTGTATTTAATATGCCCATATCTGTTAAGGTGAGTGAATGATAAGACAATAAACGAGTAAACATAACATGAGTGATAACCGATTGTAGGTACCTACCACTCCCTGATTGCTTTTAATTATTACTATTTAATGATTGAAAATCGTTTAAAACTCGTTTTTCGACAAGCCTACAGGCTCCTACTATTGCACTAAAATATTATTCAAATGGAAATTGGTGGGGCTATAATAAATTATTTTAAGGCTGGTGGCAGAGCCGTCATTGCTACAATCAACATTAGTGATCAGTATTATAATACCTACTGGACAATTAATATTCGGATACAGTAGGAAACGTCAGTGTTAGGTTTGGTTTAACAGTCTGCAGTCAAGGTACCTATGCACTCGGACGCGAGTAATTATTTTCGAAATAAACCTAAGCTCCAACGTGTAATATTATCGTCGTTATTGTTAATTAATTACTACTAGTGCAGGCCATTACTTTTCTTCGGTGATGGACAGTCTGACGATCTCGAGCTCTTCCTCGAACTCTTCGTCGCCGCAATTCCTCAGCTTCCTCAACGACCGGGCCGCCTCTTCCGGTTTTCCCACCATCATGAGGTAGTACGGCGATTCCGGTATGAACACCATCAGCACGCCCGTGATGACCGGTATGACCGCGCCGACAATGGCCAGGGTCTCGTAGTTGGCCAGCCACCCGACCACGTAGGACAGCAGCAGACCGGAAGCGTAAGTCAGCTCGACCACCAGGGCCAACGATCCCCGGACGGAAATGCTGGCCATCTCGCCCACGTACGACGGGGACACGATCAACGAGATCGCCATCGCGCTGCCGTGCAAAAATCGAGCAACGTACAAGTGCCAGGGCTGTACACACACATAACGTCAAGTAAACGATTATTATTATTGTGACACCGATAGGTACACATCACACTTAATGTAAACGGAGGATCATAATATGATGTGTATATTATGCTAAAAAAAATGTTGGGTGTATAATATTATCTCTTAATATACGATTTGTATAACACTAAGAAGTTCTGATTAACACTATAAATTTGGTACACGTGGTGGCGATCGATTTAACGTAATTAATAATGATAATAATTATTATTATCGTATCCGAGAGCCATCGTATGAGTAGCGGTCGTTCTACGTTAAACCGATGCCGCCCTCGTGCGGTGACAGACGCGTTGGCCGATCGAACGCGTTCGGTTGGTTTCACGGCGGCGGCGGCGGTGCGGTGATGGAAAAATAAAACGTCGCGTCTTACCTGCCGAGCGGCCAGTATCAGTATCCAACCGGCTAGCGTTATCGGCACCGTCAAGTACACGGACATTTTCCGGCCGATTTTGTCCATCATGATACCGGCGGGCAACGACAACAGTACGTTACCGACGTCGATCAGCGTTACCATCCACGACTCTTGTTCCGAAGTCAGGTGAACCGGCGCCGTGCCTTTCAACGTGTATTCCATCATCGGCGACGACCATCCCAGCGTCGTACCGGCCATCAACAGTGGCATGGACACTGCCAATCAAACAACACGGACATGGTGCAGTTATTTCATTAATTACGATGTCGGTGTGCAATATCATCATCGACAACAAAAATAATAACAAGTTAAAATAATAAATTAGACAATTCGGCGGAAACGCACGCGGGACATACCTATAAAACACGCGAAAAGTTGTTTGCAGATGCCGTCGGGTAGGGTAGACATTTTGTTAATTTAAAACGGGGTGGTGTCGTTCTCTGTTACGATGGTTATTGTGTTTTTTATGGTCTTTTTACTTTTTACGGACCGATAAACGATCAACCCGTTTGGCGTGCACGTTTGTTAATACTAAAATGAAATAATATAACGTTTGAAAATAAAACGGCTATATCCGTCGGTGTATAATCTAGAAATTAGATGAACTGACCTTTTCGTTATCGACACATCGCTACAACTGCGGGTAACGTTAATTCCCGTTCACACAATCACACAACACTATAATAATATTAGTAATACTATTAAACTATAATAGGCATATCGTAATGACCGGACGAACACAATTCGTTCACTGAACGTCGCTCAAGTATACAGACACAACGAATGCAACTCGTTTGAGTTCGATCCTTATCCACTGTTGTCGGTGCTTCAAAAAAAAAAAAAAATAATAATAATAATAATAATAATAATAATAAATAATAGAAACAAACGAGAGTATAGTAATAAATTGTATGTTATATTATATAATATATCTACGTTAAACACTGCGAACTCGTTCATGCCTCGTCGGAATAAGAATACGATGTCAGTAAAATATCAACTTTCACATACTACATACATTATACGTATAGGTACACAGTACACAAGATTATACGAGAACTGTCACGTTCACGGAAAGTTCGAAAAGCATAAAATGTGTTCACTGTTGTAATATACTAATATGCTATTAAGATAATATTATGATATCGTATACTAGCGACTAGGTAGGATAATCGATGTCGAGGAACATAAAAATAGATAAGGTCACCAAATTCTATTGGCACATGACAATAAAAATACAAATATTAAACACTATTTTTAACTGTTTTAAACATTAATATTACGACCAGAAAACGAAAATGTTCGAAATTAATATTATTTACGAACGTTGGAATAATAATAATTAATATAAGTTGGACGTGGACACGTGATAGGTGATGTTATAGACAACCGCATTAAAAACCTGAACTAAAAATGTACATGATTTTTGACGAACTGGTTAAGCGCAATCATTAAATAGGAACTATTGATGTCAGGAAACTTAACTATGTAATAATATATTATGTAACTTTTAACTGGGTATCATTTTGTATTACACACTACCAGTCTGCGTAAAAAATATATTTTGTCTATAATTATTAATTATATAATAATACAATTTTTTATTATTTATGTATGGTTAAAAAAAATATAGTATTGAGCTTGTTATTTATTCAAAAACTACCACTAAAATCTACTTAAGAATCACGAACCAAATCTTCAATGATTTGGTCAAAAGGTGTATTAGGAAGCAAGCGTAACCATATTTTCTTCCCTCAAACCGGAACCCCTGTAATTGTTAATAAGAAAAACACATAGATTTTTATAATTTCCTTAATATTTTTCTCATATAATGAGTACCTATTACAGTTTACGTATTAGTCACTCTGGGATGTATTATAGTGTAGGTATCTACTCATTTCATTCTAGTATTTAATAGAAACGTGACAGTCGTTTGAATGTATAGTCTGAGCCAACTAAAATCTGCGATCGGTTTAGTGCAGTAAAAAAAACAGGTCGGGCGTAGTTAGTCATACATTATAATTAGTCTTGTGTTTGTTGAAGATTGTACTTTTAATATACAGAGTGGACCACCGTGTTTTCCGTTTTCATGTGCTAACCTTATGAGGAAACCCGATGGCCCACCCTGTATCGGTTTAGATGATAAACTACATTATACAGACCATTAAAACTACATTATTAAACCGCATTGATAATATTTCCGACTGTATTTAAAAGTTATACTCTCTCTACGAAATAAGATTATGCAGATTAGTAATATTATGAAAATTTGTATTATATAGTTCAATTTTTTTGATTTTAGTTTAACACATTGAATTTGTGGTACGATAAACTATACTTATTCACATAATAATGAATAAAAAACCTTCACTGTTAGAACTTAGTTTCTAATATAATTGCATTATAAGTAATAAGTAAAATATAACTGCTCTCGGACCATATCTTTGGCTTTCAACAATTTATTTATTAATATAAAAGAAATTCATGGAAACCATTTTTTGTACAGAATTTTTAATCATAAATCAGCGATATTCAAATAATATAAATTATAATATTTTGTGTCGGGTCAAAGTCACTGAAAGCAATTTAACAAATCTTGAAATAATTATTTGTTTAAATACGCTATAACTATGTGCAATCATTATTTTAAGATACCGTCCGATTATAATACTTAATTATATATTTTTTCTTTTGTAATGAATACTATACTATCTTTTTAATTTTTTTCCTCTAATGTTTGTTCATTGAGACGACCATGTGTTTTTGTTAATGCTTATCAGAAGTGTCGATAGTAGAAAATGTATGCTATCCAATTATCAATGTACCTATGTATTATCACTGAATAAATATAATAGTTGATTTCATCATTTATATCCCTATAGGCGTGCATGACACACTACCCTCTCTAAATAGGAAATGATAGGACTGCACAGTGCAGACCCAGTAGACTATAGGGTGTGTTCTAGTTGGTAAAATGGACGATAGCATAATATAGTATTTTTAATAACATATCAGACAAAATATTTTTTTTTATTATAAACGTCGACCTTAAGGATTTAATTGATAGTTGATTTTGTAACTATAATATAATGGTACATATAATTTTAAAAGTCTAAACATTGTAACAGATATTGTGAATATTTTCCATGTTATAAGATAATACTAGTCGTTGCTTAATTTTTCTTTTTTACGTTTAAACTTTAAAGAACCGTTCTGTATATCGCTGTAGAGCAATAATTTCTTTAGTAGACTTTAGTCTGCAAGAAAATAATAAAAACGTGAATTATCTTGTATTTTTTACACAATTAGTGCTATACATAAGCGTGCGCAGATATACTCGGAAGTGTAGTCATGTTGATAATATACATAAGTATTCACTTTAAAGACTTTAAACTTATAGGCCTGTTCTAACAATTATTCAGGAGGGGCTACACAGTTCACGTTTATGTTACTACAACGTTATTATGTTATAATATATCATGAATTGATAGTTGAAGTGGTATTAGAATATTCCAAGTGGATCTTCGGGAGAATTTACCATTAGAGCAACATGATTAATAGGTATAAATCATGAAGTCGTTTTATCATATTAAATATAATGGTTAAGTTGTAACCACTACTGATGCTGTTATAAACATTGTAAATTTATTCCTTCTACTCATAATTATAAATATTTATTTCCATACTGAATCAGTAATTTTTAGATAAGTAAACTTTCAGTTGAGATAGGTATCCTTTTTTAAAATATAATTATTTTGTATGCGTTTGTGTAAACATGTTTAAACATTTCGTTTAAATAACGTTGACCCTTAGATGTTTTTATTCGAGCATATACATTTAAAAAAGTATCATGTAAAATTTAAAAATGTATGGTATTTAAAAGTTATACAATTTTGTAGTAGAAGCTAGAAATACCGAAGTATTTTACTTTCAAATTTTAATGCTACACTTTGTTGTCAAGAAGTAAGAGTTTTCACTACCTATCTGGAATTACAAACTCTGGTGATGAATAGCATTATTGTTCGACGTTTTAAATAAAATAACATGTTATGATAATATTATAGTCTCGTAATGTATGTACATATAACCATTAAAAACCCAATATGTTTGTAAAAGAAAATATCAAAACGTTACTAGGTAGTAGGTACCTTTTATTAATCCCAAGAGTCAACGAAATAGACTTATAACAAGAAAATATATTAATATCGGGGTATATAGAAAAAAAAATAATTCAGCTCGTTTTAGTATCAACTATTTGGTATAGGTTG